CTGTGTCAGTGTGTATCAGGGGCTCTGAGGACAGGTGTCAATCCATATCTGCCAAGTGACCCTATGTTGGGGAAACAGTCTCTATTCTGCTCTGTGTCGGTGTGTATCAGGGGCTCTGAGGACAGGTGTCAATCCATATCTGCCAAGTGACCCTATGTAGGGGTAACAGTCCCTATTCTGATCTGTCAGTGTGTATCAGGGGCTCTGAGGACAGGTGTCAATCCATATCTGCCAAGTGACCCTATGTAGGAGGAACAGTCCCTATTCTGATCTGTGTCAGTGTGTATCAGGGAACCTTAGGACAGGTGTCAATCCATATCTGCCAAGTAACCCTATGTAAAAAAGGCCTGATGAGATGAGCTGCCTTGGGCTAAAAATGGTCCACACGCTGCTGTATTTTAGCTCTGAATGCCTGTTGACTTGCGTGACTTATCCGCCACCAACTTGGGTTCAAGCCGCCAGTGTGTACTTATAAATGGCTTTATAAAGCAGTGTGTACTTTATAAATGGCTCCACCTGCCACCCGTACAGCAACACAGTCTCCAGTTAGGAGGACCAACCAAGCATCTTCTTCCATCTGCCTGTTGCAGAAATTACTGCCATGTACACGACCACTGATAGGAGACGCGGAAGGTATTAAACTGATAAAAATGTACTAAACACACCCACTCCTATCTGGTGTCACATTAACCAGGCAGCAGGTACTAATTTTGCAGTAAGAGGACCGACCAAGCCTCTTCTTCCATCCTCCCTGTTACCAAAAATCAATACCCCGTGCTGCGTCCACTGATAGGAGGCATGGAAGGCTTGTGAAGCTTCAGTAAAAAATAGTACTAAACTTCACTCCTATCTGGTGTCACATTAGCTTGACCGCGCAGTGCCCCAAATTTGCAGTAAGAGGACCGACCAAGCCTCTTCTTCCATCTCCCTGTTACAAAAATCAGTGCCGTGTACACGTCCACTGATAGGAGACGCGGAAGGTATTAAACTGATAAAAATAGTACTAAACACACCACTCCTTTTTTGGTGAGGCTTTTGCGGGACAGAGTGCTTCTCCACGGGACATGTGTTAACTCACGGGCGGCTGCTCATCAAGGAACCACAGCAGCTTTCCATGTACAGGTAAGACTGCGTGCAGCGGTAAAGGGTTCAGGCTTTTTCTTCACCGGAGGTCGCTGCCAAGCCTGTTGAGAGCGAGGTGACCTTGCTGGGTCCCAGGTGTAGAAGTTCCTAAAATGGCTGCCCATATACCGTCCACTGATAGGAGACGCGGAAGGTATTAAACTGATAAAAATAGTACTAAACACACCACTCCTATCTGGTGTCACATTAGCTTGACCGCGCAGTGCCCCAAATTTAATGTGATTTGTGAGTAAGGTAAACGGTTGTCCATACAAGTAGGTTGCAGCTTTTTGAGGGCCCACACCACCGCCATGCACTCCTTTTCAATGGCAGTGAATATACTTCGCTGTGCAAAAGTTTACGGCTTAGATAAAAATAAATGCCGTGTACACGTCCACTGATAGGAGACGCGGAAGGTATTAAACTGATCAGAACAATACTAAACACACCACTCCTTTTTTGGTGAGGCTTTACAGGACAGAGTGCTTCTCCACGGGACATGTTAACTCACGGGCAGCTGGCTCATCAAGGAACCACAGCAGCTTTCCATGTACAGGTGAGACACGTGCAGCCGGTAAGGGTTCAGGCTCTTCTTCCTGGAGGATACGCTGCAAGCCTGTTGAACGAGGTGACCTTGCTCGGGTCCCAGGTGTACGGTTCCTAAAATGGCTGCCATACACGCCCCACTGATAGACGCGAAGGCATAAACTGATCAGAAAAAATACTAAACACACCACTCCTATCTGGTAGGCATTAGCTTGACCGCGAAAGGCCCCCAAATTTGAATTAAGAGGACCGCCAAGCATCTTCTTCCACCCTGTTACAGAAATCACTGCCATATCCACAAATTGTGCTAGAATGCCCCTAGAGGTTTCCAGGACAAATGTTGTCGCCTGTTGAATGTGAGGTGACCTGTCTTCGGGTCCCAGGCGTAACGGTTCCTAAAATGGTTATACACGCCCACTGATAGGAGACGCCGGAAGGTATTAAAACCGACGAACAATACTAAACACACCACAAATAAGGCTTTTCCTGTATGGCCTCAAATGATGCTTTCAAGATTAGAAGTTGCTGAAAAGCATTTCTCACATCTAACAAAATATATTTTTTAACATTCACTCCACTTTGAACGAAATGACGTTTGGGAAGAGATTAACATAATTAAACACAGGCAGTAAAAATACAGTTTTTAGCCATACACTGTAACTTTAAAACTACACATCCCATCTTCATAATTACATATTTGGAATCAGCACACTTAAACATAAACATAACCAAAAATCAGCCAAATCCATCCAGGGGTTAAAAAGTTAGCTGGAGGTCCCTTTATGACCGACCGCAAGCACATTTTCCTGCCCAAAACAGTTCCATAGATTTGGGCTGTGAGGTCGGCCTATTTCAGGCTGAAAAAACGACTAAGTCCCATCGCCGAATGGGACTTAGTCTCTGCAGCTGAAATAAGGCTGAAAAAAACGGCTGAAAAAAAGACTAAGTCCCATCGCCGAATGGGACTTAGTCTCTGCAGCTGAAATAATTTCCCATTTACTGAACCAAGTGGGAAATAGCAAGGCAGGCACAAAGGGTTTGCACCAGGTCTGGGGACACAGGGGACACCGTCTTAAAGGGGCCGTGTCCCCAACAAGTCTGGGGACACGGCCTTAAAGGGGCAGTGTCCCAATCTTCCTGATGTCCCAAAAAAGGTGTTTAAAGGGCCAGCACCAGTCACATAAAGAGTCCATAAGCCCCAATATGCCCACCGACAGTCTTAAAGGGCCATACACACCAAATAAAAGTGCATACATTTTCACAATCTCCCAGGGGCCATAGTCATGCGGGAGGAGGCTGGCAAAGAGGCTTCTCCACAACCCAGGGAAACAGGGCAATTTGCCATTTAAAGGGCCCGTTATAAATAGCAGTTTGTAACAAGGTGTCAATCCATATCTGCCAAGTGACCCGATGTAGGGGGAACAGTCCCTATTCTGCTCTGTGTCAGTGTGTATCATGGTCTCTGAGGACAGGTGTCAATCCATATCTGCCAAGTGACCCTATGTAGGGGAACAGTCTCTATTCTGCTCTGTGTCAGTGTGTATCAGGGGCTCTGAGGACAGGTGTCAACCATATGTCAAGGTGTCAATATGTCATATGTCAGGTGTCAATCCATATTGATTGTGATTTAGGAATGTTAGGTGATTTCTGCCCTTTATGGATTAAAACCAGACTCTGTATCAACTGTGTAATTTTCCATGGGAGTTTTGCCATGGATCCCCCTCCGGCATGCCACAGTCCAGGTGTTAGTCCCCTTGAAACAACTTTTCCATCCCTATTGTGGCCAGAAAGAGTCCCTGTGTGTTTTAAAATTAGCCTCCCCATTGAAGTCAATGGCGTTTCGGGCGGTTCGCCGGTTCGCGAACATTTGCGGAAGTTCGCGTTCGCCGTTCGCGAACCGAAAATTTCGGGTTCGCGACATCACTAGTCACCATGCAAATGCCACGAAGATAATTTAGATCCTTTCTATAAAGTTTTAGAATCACTATTCTAGTCAGACTGCATTTGGATAGCGTTTGTGCCAAAAGAGGAATACACATTAGAACAGGGCTTCAGTAGAAATGTAGCAAAACACATTAAAGGGCTTGATTAAATAATTTTAAGTTTTAATATAATATACTGTTTAAAAAAAAATAATAATATTCTGGTATTTTTTTCATATATTGATATATGTTTGTGTATTACATAATTTTTGATAATGTAATATTTTGAAGAAATCCATTAAAACGTTTATACAAAAATGTCAATTCATTGGGAAAGCTTATTCAAAAATATAAAATAAAGACCTAAGTTATATCAAATGTATAATATGTTGCAAAAGCAGCATGATATGAACAAATATAA